GGGGGGGGGATAAGTTCAGTTGTAAAAAACAAGAGTGCTTCACGTGTCCTGGTCCTCCCAAACATTCAGATAATATTTGTCTTGAATAGTGTTTCATCAAGAACTCTATAACGTTAATTATGAATGCTGTAAAAAATTAACAAAATGCAAACAAATGTCACGCTCTTGTTTGTCCCTAATTCACATTGAAATTAAAGTTTGCAATTGAACTTTTCCTATCAATTCAATTATTGAATAAATTTCATACATATCGACGGTAGATTTGAAAAAACACCAAACACTAAAATCGTCTCTATCTTTCATCATCTTGGCAGATACTTTTATTTTTGGACTAAAAATCGATGTGAAATCTTTTTTAGTCTCCCAAATCGCAATTCAAAGTTAATTTGATGGTTTTTCTACAAAGGATTGACCATAAGAATATCAAATGGCTTGTTTTAGATATAAGCATGATCTAATACATAAATAAATAAAAAAGCAAATTTCGTTTGAGGTATATATGGTTTATTTTACGTTTTTATATTTTAACCTTTTATATCAAGTTAAATCTTCTATAACTATACATCAAAATGTCATATACATGTGTTATACTACTCTTTACGTTACAAAATAAATGTCTATAATGAAAATATACATTTTTTAGTTAACAAAATGACAATTTTACTCTTAATTTTTCTACCTCATGATTAAGGGTCGAATGAGAAAGTAGACGTTACTTTCAAAAGTAGACACTTAATTCAGGTTAAACTAAAACAGTAATGTTAACACTTATTTTAAAACAGAAAGAGTAGCACACTTCTTTACATATGACAAAAATAGACGAGTCAAAATGAGCCTATTAACACTTATTTTTTCAAATAAAGGACATTATAAATTATTAATATATCAACTATGATTACAAACTTAATATTATTAAAAAAAAAATTATTTTTAAATAAAAATATTTTAAAAGGTTACAAATGTGCACATACACTTCAGACAACTTTAAATAAAAGAGTAAAGATTACAACCTTAAAACCGTTCATTAGTAAAATTGATATTGTACTTGATTCGAACTCGTAAATTTTGAAGGACTAACAAATTAATACACTAATACTTTGGCTCATTTTTTACGTCTTGCAGAATTTATAGCTTTCGTTTTCTTGTAAATTCGTTCGTTTTTTCTATTTAATATTATTGAACGGCCCTCCTATGTGTTATTTTTCCTCCTTGTAAGCCAAATCGAGAGGAAGCTCATTCTAATCCTAACCATGTCATGCACCTGGACTCGATCAACCGGAAGTTTTGTGCACCATCATTCTAATCCTCAAACCCACAATCGTATTGATGAGTTTCTGTAGGTTCGATTCCACGGAGGAGCACTCTTCAAACATAGATTATAACCACCAAGAAACTTTTATGAAATTGAGACTTCACAGTTTCGAGATGCAAAAGGCCTAGACCTTTTTGCGCATGCTTTAGAATTCAGGAAATTTTCGGCCTGATCAGGCTTTGATGCCTGGACTAAACCAGGCTTCGGGCTCACCAGGCCCAGGCTTTTTCAGGCCAGGCCTAAACACTTAAACCAGACGAGGGGTTGGGATAGATAAACCCCTTAGACAAAAGGGAAAACTAGCATCAAATTTTCATTCATTTTAGTGTAGTGGAACCATCATCCATCAGTTTGTATGTGGTTTTTGACATCTGCTTAATTATTTTAGTTATGAGACATAATTATTAGTTTAATGAAAGAAAGATGGCAAACCCCCTATGTTTATTAAGGAAGGAGGAAGACTAGAAATACAAAATGTGTGATTTGAACAAGACCTGAAATCAAAGCAAATATTAATTGGTTACTACTACATCTTAAAGCAGGCAGTCAGTAGTAGTTGAACAAATATTCCAACATAAAAATATGGAACCCTAGGCATGCATGTTCCCATTCCCAATATACCTTTCAAGACATCTGAAAACAAAATTTACTCTACAGTTTACTGTGCTGGCCTCCCTGCTGCCTGCCTACTCATGATAGATACAAGAATAGCACCATCACCCAAAAATATTCAAACATCCCACAAAACACCACCCATCTGCAGTAAGTATTCCCCACCACTGCAAAAGTCGGTCACACCACATATCAGCATTTTATTCCATAATAGAACACACTTAACAACAAGAAGTTGGTTCCAGTAGTTATGGTGAGAAGGGATCTCCACCCTTGGATCAACACTAATGAGATGCACCAGATCAATTCTTGTGAGAACCGCAATTCGTGGATGCGGGTGAGATTAAAAGTGATCAAGGGTCCAATTCCCTTCTTACGCTTCTCACCTTAACTCCTATGTATATATAGACGAAGGATCGTGTGAGAATAGGAGTTAAGTTGACAAGCGTAAGAAGGGATTTGGATCCTTGAACACTTTTAATCTCAAACCAGCCCATGAATTGTGTACTTTAGAAGGGAATTGATCCATTGCTTCTCATTAGTGTTGATCTAGTGGAACTCTTCAATTAGGATTGATCCAAGGGTGGAGATCCCTTCTTACCGTTCTCACTATAACTTTCATTCTCACTGAAATCCAACCATATAAATATATGTGTGTGTGTGTGTGTACCCAACATACAGGATCCCAAAAATGCATCATCCTTAACCTTCACCTACCACTATAATATATCAACTGAAACAAACCTCATGGCAAAGCTTAAAACAGCTAAAACTTCCTATGACTCCAAAGACATGATGAGTTGAAGAAGTAGGCTAGAAGATGGGTTTTTGAGCTTGGATCAGATATGGATTTGCAAGGCCAAACCACATTTTATTTTTACTTTAACCAAAGGAAGTTTGTGGTTTATGTTCCAACTTTTGAGCTTTAGTTACATGAGAATCATGGACTTCTGTAAGGATGTTTTTTTGTAAGATTTTTATGCAACTAACTTATTTTTAAGAATTACAGACTACAACTATTTTTTCATAGTTATAATATATAGGCACAACATGTAGATACAGATGGAGGTACAGAAAGGAGTGAAAACCTTAAGTATCAAGGTACTCCCGTAATAATTCTAATCAACCATAAATTGTATTTCAAGCAAACTAATATGCTGATGATTATTTTCAAAGCATTCCCAAAACAAAAAAAAATTTGAAATTTGCATTAACATCTTTGAAAAAGGTTACAAAAATGTGCAATCGCAGCACAGAAAGTTTCTATATTGTCTAGACACATCAAACTATTGAGATTGGTAAAAGGAACTACTTCGATTTCACTGTAATTGGGGGAAGAAAAGAGTCAGGCCTGACATAGATTTGGGTCCATAAATTTCTTTATACTGTAGTTGTTGAAGGGTATTTTAAACATTTGAACCAACACTCTTCACTTATATTGTGTGCCTAGTCAAATGGTGCAATTATTACCGGACAGAGGGAGAATACAACAAGCCTTTAGTTGCAAATTAGTTGGCGTGGCTTAAGAGGAGTCTTATACAACCATAAAATTTCGCCCTCAACAATTTCAGTCAATGAAAGTTAGGACTATAAGTTTTTGATTTGATCTTGCTCACATATTGCCACCACACTTTCCATCATGAGCATGCCATAAGTATAAATGTCCTCAAGCACCCTACGTCGATTATCCTATATCCACAACTAGTTATGTATGAACTAGTACCCATACTACAGACAGAGCTATCTGTATGCTATTATATATAAAGATATCAAACGAAGAAAATAAAATAATAGAAATATCTAATTAATGTCTTTTGATGAGTGCATAAATGTAATTGGAATTATGACATTGAGCCACATATGGATGAACCTCATAAGCAATCAGATTCTCAGCTTTTGATCTAACAAGATGTTAAACAAGCCAAGAACTCTTGTTTGGTTATTGGATGATTTGAGGAACATGACTCAAGAAGCTAAAATAGACTTTACTCCCTTGCAAGATTTCCATAGATGCAATGCTAAAGAGATCATATAGATGCAATGCTTTATGTAGCATTATACAGAAAAACTACAGGCAGAGGGATCGGGTTGTGTAATGTGTTTATGAATCAACGTAAAATGGAAAAGGAAAGAAATCAGAGAAGTAATGGTGAACTCATTGTGCCTGCAAGGACCAAGAACCAGAGAAGCACTTGCTATAGCAACTAGAATCAACACATTTCACAATCGTCTATCAGGAAAATAAAAGCAAAAGAACCTGCGTCTATTTCCCTTCCCCTCTCTTGATTCTCTCTCGATGGTGTAAGTTACAATCCGAGCCTTAAATTTGTTGATTGGGTATTTAGAGAACCTACACTTCCCATGCTTTTCTTTGAAAAAAATGCAACTTTCCCCCACCAAACCAGCCACCATGTCCCACGCACCCCAATGAATTTCTTTCAAGTACTTGGTCAACCATATATGGATACCCTCACCTTATACCGACCATGCCATAAGCGATTAAGTGTGCTGTATCCCCGAGTTTGATGTACCTAATTGATGATGCATATAGCCACACCCTTGCATCAGAGCCTACCATTAAAAGGCCAAATATCTACGTCACAAAAGAACAAAGCAAAACAGAATACACATGTTGTCTCAACTCTCAAGAATCTTAGTAAATAATAGCAAGGATTTAGAAGTACTATTGACAGCATGGTTTTTGTATTGCCTTAAACTTATCTCAAGTGATCAGTGTCATTTCAAACAAGGTGAGGCCTGACTCTTTGTTTTTTCTACCCAAACAGTATCAACTATCAAGTGATTTAAGATCATGGACTTACAAAGAAAACCACAGTAGCATACAGTAGTTTCTAGCAAGACATACAAGGACTACAACATATATCATTACCAGCTACAAGATATACGTTAGAGTTGCAAAAAAATATACGGCTGGAAAAGGAAAATAAACCATTCAACAATGACAGGCACATAAGGGTTGTCTTAGACAAAATCAACAGATCCATCCTATCAACTACATCAAACAGAGATATCAAGAAGAAAAAACAAGAAAACCAGGGTTTTAGTTCCAGGGTTTCTAGCAGCCCATATCACATAATTATTTGTGTCTTGGAAAGGAGAATTAGAACCCTAAGCTTCATCACAAACATAGAAGCATGGCAATGACCCAATATAACTTAAATAAACCAAGCATATTCGCCCTACAAAGCATATAAATAAATCCAGCAAGAAAAGAAACCCAGAGAAAGAGGATTACCCAAAGAACTGAGGCTGGCAAGCCTGTCAGGGTTACTTTTTGAATCATCTGATCTGTGCTGGAGAACATAGCAAACCAGAAGCATCTGATCCGACCACGGCTAGGTCACAAACAGTACAAAGCTGCCCTTCCTGGGAAAGAACAAAGTGTGAACTGCAGTATGGGCATAATACATCCTTCTGTCCCCGGTATATAGGGACATAAGTTGCTCCACAAACGACAAATGGATTTCTGAAGTCATAATTCAGCTGTGTGGAATCTTTCATGTTCCTCTCAGCAGCCTGCATAACTGAACGGGCAGTTCTGGTTTGGTTTTCTGCAGTTGGGTTGGTCTCCATGAGCCTCCTGGCAAAGTTTGATGCTGTGATTAGATTACCAGCCTTGTAGCATACAGTCATAGCATTCATCAAGGCAAGTCTCAAGTGTGGTAGCTGAAGGTTACAGTGAGTGAAGTAAGCGGCCAGTTCCTGTTGACGAACCGGGTTGTCCTTCAGTTCTCTTCTTTTAAGTTCCATCTGTAAACCCAGAACATACTCTTTCACAATAATAATCAACTCTTTAACTTCATCCACCTCTCTTCTTGACTCGACAACAATCAGGGGAATCGTATGAAGAATACCCAGAAAAAGTCGCAAAGCTTCAGTGAACTTCCCAGTGGTGGTGGCTTTGTAACCAGCCTTGAGCTTTTCTTCCAACTGAGGGAAATTAAACACGAGTGCAGGAGGGGCCCGGACATTAGGACTTGCTGATTCGCTCCAACCCCTCTCGATGGCCAGGGAGATCAATGGAGCTGATGAGAACGCACGCAAGTAAGTATGACTTCCCATGTGAAGATCAATAAACAATGATTTTAACGGTGCAAAGTTCTTTATTCCGAGCTGCCGGCTTAGCAAGCGCATCGCAGTGTCAAAGTTTCCAGCTGCTGCATGTTCAGCAGCAAGAGATGATTTCTGCACCCAAATCTGGCTGACGGGCATACCAGCAGTAGGTGCCACAAATACTGAAGAGCGGGCAGCAGTCGTAGCTTTGGGGGTTTCAATATCAGGAGGAAGTTCAAGATCCTCGAGATCCCAACCTCCCTCTTCATTTTCTTCAGGTGCTTCTTCATCATCCAGCACCATGCTGATATCTCCATTCTGAATGTTCTCTACATCCACAATATCCACATCCTCACCCCAATCAGCATCACCAGCATCTTCATACTCTTCATTTGTACCCCTTCCAATATTGTCAAGGCCACCCTCAAAGATCCCTTTCATGACCCTCAGTAATGGCCAGTCTCCACCGCATAAGACGGGAGTTGGGGGCATCAAAAGAGAAGCAGACCCACCACTGGGCAAAGAAGGAACATTACCTTCAAGTTTATCAGCAAGGTCTTCGACAATATCGTTCAATCCATGGGTCTTAGCAGTAGCATATGCTAGTGGTAGATGACCAGCATTTATCAAAATCTTGATTCGCTCTTGGACATCACCCAGGTACAAAGCATTATGGAACTGCCCCATAACATCATTTTTTACCTCAGCGATTTTCATCATTTTGGACAATTTATCCAAATTTCCTGTTATCAGATACAGGAAGGATAGCCTCTCAAAGTTTTTCGTCCTCTGGTATGCATATTCAACAATACCAGAATTGCCCTGACGAAGGGCCTCAACGCCCAACCTATACCAGTGATCTTTCTCATCAATCTCTTTTGCAGAAGCAACAGCTATCTGGATGTTTCCACTTTCAAGTGCTAAATTGAAGCGAGTTCTCTCATCCTTCACGAAATGGAGAGCAACCTCTGGGAAACCTTTTTGCTGGAGATATGCAATCATGGCTTGCCCGCACAGCTCTGAGTTCCTTATCATGCTCATTACGTGGTCATATCTCTTTTTCAGCAGAGATAGCTTGAAGATATACTCAGTTGAATCAATAATTATTGGGCGGTTTTTCCCATCTCGGTCCAAGCAAAAAATTGTATTTCCAAATATCTTTGTGATGTACACCGGAACATCAAGTGTCCTGATGATTCCACTGTCCCCATTAGGAAGGCAGTACTTGATATGGGTTAGGGTTGTGTAAATGAACACACCATTATCATCCCAGGATCCACTCTTGACTCGGATTGTTTCATGAAGGGTGCAGCGGTGAACAAGCTTCTTATCAGCTATGATTATTGAATGTTTGCTAAGCAAAGCAACACTCTCCATGTCATTTGACCAAACAACATATCTTACAAAAGAAGTTTGAAGGTCACCAAGAACCATTCGCTGTTGAAGGTCAAAGATGAACACTCTATCCTCTGCCCTGCATAACAAGTTACCTGTACCGGCATAGAATATAGCATCAGTGACAACAGGAAGAGGACTCTTCTTCACAATCTCATTCTTTAAGTTCTTGACTAACACTTGATTGGTGCTCTTCTCAAGAACTGCAAACCTATTTCGAGCCACAAAAACTGCAGATCCCCCAATTCCTCGTTTTGCCTCTTGAACTGTATCACCTCTACTAAAACTATCTTTAGGTATGATATAGAGTTCATAAGATCCCCCATCTACCTCTGAACATATTAGAACCGCATTTTCAGTAGGGCTATAAGAGAGAGTTCTAGGACCCTGGTTCAAGCTGATAGACCCAGGCCTACGGATTGGTAATATTTGAGTGTCTTTCTGAGAAGAGTACTCATAGAACCGCAGAAAACGGTCTTTCACGAAGTACAGGGAATCACCGCTAACAGAGAAAGCTGGGCGTTCTCTCTCCAACTTGAAAACAATCATACCACTATCATGGCCAGCCGCCAGAAGGTTCATCTCAGGATGACACCCAAGAATCCAGAACCTGTCATGCTCCCTGCGGAAAGTTTGCAGGCCTGTCCTTTTTGTAGCATCCCAAACACGTATACTTTTATCCTCTGAGTTTGATACTATAATGTCCTGTCTTGCATGGAAAAGAACACATGATACATTATTCATGTGACCTCTCAATGTGTCTACTTCCCAAGCTTTTGTATCTGAAAGCCAAGGATGGTAAATTAGATTCAACATCCCACAGTATCTTGGTAACAATGTAAGACAACAGATAAACACTTCATTCTTAAAGGTTTCACTCTTGAAGCAAACAAACAATTGAACTAGCATGTTTGCTATGTCTGTTCAAGGAGAAACACGATACAAGCAAAACAAAAGCAAATACGCAGTACCCTGAACATGCACATTTAAGAGCAATCATTAAAATCCAACATCAACATAAATCTTTGAAATATATCTTTTTCCACACCATGACAGTGCACAACTGCACAATCCACACCCAATGATGGCCAATTTATATGAATAGCAACCTAATAACCGATGTTGAGCAAGATAAAGCATATTGAAAGTATTCATGAGAAGCCAGTATAATTATCCTACTCGGCTTTAATGAATTGTCTAATTTGTCTTCTCTTGCAATTCTTTCCTACACATTTTCTTTCTCTTAGAAGGGGATAGCATACCACCATGGAGTTAAGAGGCATGTAGTTAGACTAACAGCAATCGATACGATTTGTGTTGATTCAGGAAGCAAACAGAGCAAATAATATCAGCAATCCAGAAGAATCCTATCTGATTTTCCTTTTCACCTGCAAATCCCCCTCACATTGGCAAATTAAATCACATTGTCTGTTCAATAATATTTACTATAGATTTCTTACCTTATTCGTGTTGTTTTTGTGGATTGTGTCTTGAACAAGACTTATTAGCATCCACATGAATGCAAAGGTCTTTTGGTTGGTATTTGGTGAAGTTGTAATGAACAATTAATTGGACAAGTTAACACTCTCTTGATCTTGATTAGCATATTTTTGTCTATACATGACTTCGTGATTACATTTTCTGTTTTACATTTATGAAGTTATTTCAGAACAAGTAGAAGCAAGTCTACAATACAATTCATGTTAATTCGATTCATATTTTATGAAAAATTAGTAATAGTAATTCTCAATTTGGTTCAGGAACTGACAACTGTGCAGATATAGGCATGGTAACCAATACTGCAACAGCAGTGTACCAAAGCTTGTTGGCTTTACAAGGGCTCGGGAGTGCGGATGAGGATATACAGGCACAAGGTTATAGACAACTGAAGTTACAACACCCAGTTTCAAAATTGTCTAAACTTTCTTCCTTCCATTAATGAACACAAAGGGTGGAATGTGGATAGTAGTTGAAGCAAGAGGTTGTCACCTCATACGTCGAGAGAAGATACTTCTACTCATTGACTCTGAACACTGCTTCACTCTAGAATAGGCATGCCAGGTGCAGAGTGGAAAAACAGAACACCAAAAAAGATCCCTAGTAACCTTACACTACTTAAAATAAACATCTGCAAAAAAAGCTATTTAGACATTATCATGGACATGGGAGTTCATGGTTCAGATCATAAACCCGTAACAGGAATATTTCTAAACAGACTTGAACTCACAACCTAAATGGTATAGAATCAGATGATATCAATGGACCAAAGGCCACTCTGTGACACAATTTTTTTTTACTGAAAGTCCCTATTGACATGCCACCAGACAGCAGATATTGCCCAAAAATGAAAAATTGATGGACAAGATAACTAGACTAATCAAAGCATAAAAGGAAGAACAAAGCCATGCACAACATTCAGATCCTACATTTCTCGATCTCCTGTTAGCCACTTGTATCGTTTTTGTTTCTATTTTCTTATTCCTCTAGATGTAGACACTTAGAGATAATATACACATCCCCATATATTTCCAAATTCAACAGGCCATAAGATCAAGCATAAACATAGTTGCTAAATAAAAGAAGACATTGCTAACTACCTGTTCATTTTGAGAAACATATTGACTGAAGAACAAAAAAATTAGATATTGAAACGCATACCATTCATTCGCCAGATTTTAACTTGGCGATCATCAGCTCCTGAAACAATAAGAGGAAGAGTGGGATGGAATGATGCCCAATTGACTCCTCGATCATGGCCCTCCAAGACATACTTCACAACAGCATCAACCCCTCCAAAAAAATCTGTATTCATCTGACTCAGCCGAAGGATATCATCAGCAGGGGAAACTGTTTTCTTCTTCAGGGCACCAATATCCCAAACTCGAACGGTCTGATCCAATGATGCTGATACCACGAGGTCCTCCTTCGGATGGAACAAAGCACACATTACATAATGGTTGTGCCCAGTCAAAACGGATATACAAGTACGAGATTGCCAATTCCATATCCGGATAGTTTGATCATCACTAGCACTAACAATCCAGGGGTTCTCATGGTGAAACTGAACTGTGCGTATATAATCAAGATGGCCAAGCAGCGTAAACAAACACCGATGCAGTTTATAGTTCCATACTTTGATCTTGTAATCATCTCCTGCATGTATGATTATACATTCAGAACAGAAGGTATTCCTAAATATTCTTACACTTTAAGAGTAAGGGCTTTGAACTAACCAATATAAAGAAGACATGGGCTGGTGAGCATAATCGTAGATATGTATAGAGAAAAGTGAAAACAAAATTAGATGCTTCCGATTTTTCAAGATAGCTTAATTTTCCACTATAAACACCAGTTGCTAATACGCATTGCAGTGCATTGGATCACATTTAAGTCCATGTCTAGATCCAAAACATTCCCATGGGTATAAGATTTTGAACATTGCAACAAAAACGATACATATGTCCCAAAACATATGGATGTGAAGTTCCAATCATCATCACTATGTCACAACATAAACAACTTTTTCTGAAACTTTACACTGGTGCACTAATTTCTATGAACGGATCAGTCCCATTAACACAAAAACAAGGTTCAAAGTCTGATCATCACCGACGCATATAATATCCCGAATAGATCAGCTAACGAATAAAAAGAACCTTATTTTCACGAGCATTTCAAGTTATGTAAATGCAATTCAAATCCAACAAACCTCCGGAAACGAAAAGAGGCTGTGATTGATGAAAGTGCACGCCACGAACGGGGCCGTCATGCTCATCAAAACGATCAATGAGAGTGCCCATCCGGTAATCCCATAGCTGGATCACACCACTGTGAAGGCTAGCCAAGATCCATGGCCGCTTGCTGTGGAAACTCAGACCTTTCACTCTATTACTCTTGGTCTCAAACTTCGTCAACATTTTCTCTCTCAATCCCTAATCAATCAAACAACCAAATCAAATAACTCACAATTCAATCATCATAAACAAAAAAAACCTAGATTGTGAAGGTGCGTCGTAATTACCTTGGATCTGAGAATTAAATAGCCTAAATTGGATGGATCGATGGGGTTGTGGTGAATCAATGAGCAGTAGATTGATGATCAGAAGTCATTTGGAAGAGGGAGAGGGAGGGGAAAGAGTTGCAGAGAATGGATCCAGTGCGTGTTATAACAGTGTTAGATCTGAAGGCGTGAAGATGAGTTTTGTAAATAAACATAACCATGGCCCAGCCCCCCGTCGGTGTCTGTAGCCTCTACCGTAAAATTTCCATTCTAACTCTCCCAAAATAAATAAATAAATAAATACAAGACATTAGAGATCATGATCTAGGGGTGTTCAAAAAAACCGTTGAATTGTTCAAATCGGCTGAATACATTGGACCGTTTTTGACGGTTTGGTCTGGTTTAAAAAATAGCAAAATCGGACGGTCCGGTCGGTTGGCAGTCTGGAACCTTTTTAGGATGATTTGGACCAAACTGACTGCTATTATATATATATATATATATATATATAGGCTTAATCAAATGAGAACTGAATTGTTTGTGGTAACTGTGAGAACCAATCTCAACCATATATTATAATAAACAATGGGTAAGATTAAAAAGAATCTTAATTAATGTATTTCTATAAATAAATTACTGTCATTTAATGACATTATATGAACAAGGGCAAGATGGTCATTTTGTAHRTTAATATTYTTSTTYAATTGGAATCCAAATATAGTGAAGATACTTTCCTGTATTTGAGACGGAGACGATTGCCTTAAGCCCTAGAGTAATCTCAATTTGTGCTACATTGTGGTACATTTAGTGTTGATCATAATATGTTGGAAAATGGTGTGATACATTGTGATAA